GCCAGGCAGGTTTGGACAGCTTTTTTCCCTTAATAAATGAAATCATCATTTAAAAACTGCACTTTGTATTTACTTCCATTATCTTTGTGTAATACTAAAATGTGTTTGTTGATCTGAATCTTTTAAGTGTGACAAATATGCAAAAAATTTAAAAAACAGGAAGGGGGCAAAAACCTTTTCACGGCACTGTATATATAAACATTAATGGTATTACTAATGTGTTCACTCTTTGCCTCTTAGTTCGTGGCATTTATAAATATGATATGCTACTAAAGAGGAAGAAGGTCCTTCAAGTAATATTCCCAATTTGTCATTTTCATAGAGTGACTGGAATAATCTGCTGTATGCTGTCCAGCGAGTCTCTGAAGGATGTGTATTTGTCACAGTGGAGGATACATGTATTATTAGGTGTGTTTCTGTGGAAGTGTAGACCTTGTAAAGGATGTTTGTTTGTGCCAATCTTTATGGCTGTAGGTACTCGTACCCAGATCTCACTTCCATATATTGGGCAATAGGCAGTATGACACTATAAAACAATCTTTGTCCAAATTCTGATGGGAATGTTTATTTTGAATAATTTCATTTGTATGTCATGCAGTGACCTGCAGGCTTTTATAAGTAATGTTAAGTAAGTGGAAGTTAAAACCAGACCAAGATAATTATATTGTAAAGCATGTTGAAGCGTGGTGTTGTTTAGATCAAATATATGTTTCTGTTCTAGATCTGTTTTTTTTTTCTTTTTTTCTTTTGAAATATAATCTTATTTTTTTGGATGTTAACATCTTGGGTCCAATCATGGCACTATTTATTTAAAATGTCTAGGTTGTTCTGGAGACCTACTGTTTACTGCATACAGTAAATATTTGACTTCTGTGTCAAATAGCAAATAGTGGTAGTCCTGGACTATCTGATTGGTCCAGCAGATCTGCCAATTCATTGGTATATATATAAATCTGTCTTTCTCTATGCTGCTTTGATTTATCGTTTTTATGTTTAATAATGATAATTCAGGAAAATATCATCCCAATCACAAGAGGGCGCTGCAGCATATTTGACATCACATAACGTCACTATGTTTGGACGACATCACGCTTGCAGTCGCTAAAGAAACAAACACAAAAACAGCCAAATGGGAGCGTTTTATTGCTCTATCTGCAGAAAAACTGATTTTTCTGGAAAAGGACACATTTATGGGAAAAGCCACCAAAGCAAACTTAAAGTAATTCTTGTCAAATTCATGGAGAAGGTAAGCGTGCTAACAAGATAGCTAGCTGAAGATGCTGCCACAGTGGCTCCAGATACGAATTGGGCAAATACAATGTTTGTACTTTATTGCATTACATGTAAAAATAATAAAACATGCAACAAAGTAAGCCATTGTTGCAGTTCCTTTTAATCAAGTGGTATCAAATTGAGAATTGGAGGATGAGTCAATGATTTTTAAATGGTTTTAATGTCGCATTTTTTTTGTTTGTGTGGGTGTTGTGCATTATAAGTTACATTAGGCTGTCTATTTTGGCCAGGACAATTCTGTAAGAGATTTTTTTTAAAATCTTTTCCTGATTAAATAAAGGTTTAATAAAATTAAGTGGCTATGTGAAGGCAGTTCAGGTATACTTAGCTATGAACAGGTTCAGCTGGTGGTTGACAACCACAAAATGTCATAGATAGATAGATATTCATTGACATTAAGTGTGACTTGAATGTCAAAATACAATTTGGTGCCATGAACTGTAATAAACGTATTTGTTGTTCTGCATGTTATTACAGGTCAAAGAAGTGAAGCGGACCATTAAAAATCCTCAGGTAGAGAAATACAGTCCCGATCATGACGAGAAGTTCTGGTGTTACTGCTGCGCGCTGGAGGTGCAGAAGCACGTGACTGACAGTAACATCAGTGTGCTGTACGGAGGACTGCTGGAGCACATGAGCACGTAAGATCACGCCTCAAAACCTTTGAGAAACTCATGCAGAGCTTGCAGTGAATTTACTGAGCGCTTCTCATTTCAGCCCAGAGCACCGGACAAACACACACAAGTTCTGGTGGGACAATAAAGCAGATCCCAAACTGCGAGACAAGTTTATCATAACAGAAGAGGAAACTGAGAGGTTATTGCTTGCTTATTTGTGTTTGGGGACATGGATGTGTTCGTTGTAGCATTTCTGTAGTACATTAGCAAACTGATACCATCACTGTAAAAGTTTGCAGATGTTCTTAAGATAAATAAATGAAGAATATCTTTTTTGTAGATTCAAGTCTGAGGTTTCCAAGGCTCTGGAGCAGTTTGAGGAAAAAGAGGATGTGTTTATTAAACAGGTAAAGGTGTTTTACAGGTACTTTCGTTTGTTAATTGTTGTTGGTTTAACCATATCTGAACTTCAAAACGTTTCTTCTCTTCTTTCATCCTCAGCAAGCTGCAGTGATCCGATCCCAGGAGCAGCACAGACTGGAGGCCCTTCAGTTTTTATCAGAGGTTTGTTTTCCTGGGAATCTCCAAGCGTATCCATATCTCAGTATTCGTTTGTTTGATGAAAAAAAATTGGAAATGTTATTTGTGCCTTTTTCAAACTCTATTGCTAATTAGCTTTTTAAAAAAATTTAAAAAAGCAAGTAATTCCTTTGCTGGAAAATGATGTTAAAAAGACATGGAGAATTACTGTTGACATTCCTGAATCAAACTTAGCCGGATCCAGAACTGGTACATCCTGCTGAAGTGGACCAGCACAGCAGTAACCATACAGCCAGGTAAAATAAATGTAAAAATTAAAATTGTTGCTCCAATACCTATATATCTCCATTCCAGTACACCAGTATGCAAAATTTGGAGTCAGTAAGATTTATTTTTTTTTTTTTTAGAAATGCATACTTTCATTGCGAAAGGATGCATTAAATTGATCAAAAGTAACAAAAAGACCGTTATAAAATTTGTCTTTTTGTGTTAAAAACATTAAAAAAAAAAAAAAAACTTCTTTTGAACTTTCTATTAATCACAGAATCGTTCTTATTTATATATATTTTTTTGTATTTTGATAAATAACTGCAGCCTTGGTTTGGGGTCTTACCGACCCCAAATTTTTAATAGTGATTGTATATTTTTGGTGTGAGATATATGTCACAGTTTATGCAAAGATAGAGTGAGATGAATGGAAATACAACCTAATCCATGTGGAGTTGGAACAGAAATAACAGTACATTGGTCATACAAAAAAATGTAATGGCACGAGTTGTATAGTAATACTATGTGTAAATACTATGCCAGCCTTAAAATGAAGCATTACTAGAAATACTGGTGCAAGTGTAAAAAAGGAAGTATCAGTGTGGCTTTTTTTTATTGTTTGGTGCATCCTTAATCTCCCAACTTTGAACAGAGGAGGGCTAACTATGACCTTTAAATTAGACTAAATATCAAATGTTCTTGTAGAACAGCACAATATGAGTAGGTGTCCAAATGTTTTACTAGTGTGAATACAGTCAAAGTTTGCATAATATGCAATTTCCAGTAGTGAGAATCAGAAGTTATAGAAGATAAAAGGCTTCTTTAGTGCCATGAGATGATCAAAATGAATTTTTCTTCATATAATCTGGAACTAACAGAGTTTGTAATGTCTAAAGCATGAGTTTTGATGTTTGACAAGAAGTTCCCACAGTCACTCTTATGAAATGGAGCCACAACCAGGGCCGAGCCACGAGGATTTCGCCTCACACAGTCAGTGGAATGAACCAGGACTCGGTTTAACTTTCATCGGTTACCAGGTAATCTTTCTTACACCATACATATGCAACAATTATTGATTAGATTAATAAACAAGGTCAGGGATCATTTTGGCTTGCTGCCCCTATTTGCAGGACTCGTCCAGCAGTGGAAATGTTCATACTGGTGAGTAAAACCGATTTAGTTTGGGTTTATTCTTTGAGAAGATACTGAGCAGGTTGTGTTGAATTGTAGGAGCTGTACCGCCGTGGCTACTGGAGGAGCCTGATGAAGCCTCAGGCAGTGGACAGCAGGAAATGGGCCCCTCGCTTCAGGAGTTCCTCAAACACAGTATGCACTTCACTCTCATTGTTTTTGGCTGTGTTTACTTCACAGAGGACATCTCTGTGCAAAACACTTAAAGGGATAATTCACTCAAAAAGAAAGATTCTATCATTTACACACCCTCACATCATTCCAGACTTGTATGACTAACGTTCTTCAGCAGAGCGAGATATTTTGAAGAATGTTGGTAACCAAACAGTTTCAGTTCCCATTGACTGGACAAAACTGTATATCCCATTGTATAGATAAAAATGTAATGAAAGTCATTGGGAATGGAAATACCTTCTTTCTTGTTCCTCAGAAGAAAGTAAGTCATACAGGTCTGGAAAGACATGAGGATAAATTATTGAATTTTCTTTTTTGGATGAACTCTCTCTTCAAATAATATGTAGTACTATGGCTATTATTAACATGGAAAATTAGGGTACTGCTTATTGAATACTGTACCATATACACTGTGTACTAGCTAACTTAATCCAGTATTTTTAACAGTAGTATGCTACATTTTTTGTTTGCAAAAGTGGTATTAAAGGGTTAGTTCACCCAAAAAAGAAAATTCTGTCATTAATTACTCACCCTCATGTCGTTTCAAACCCGTAAGACCTTCGTTCATCTTCGGAACACAAATTAAGATAGCTTTGATGGAATCTGAGAGCTGTCTGACCCTGCATAGACAGCAACGCAGCTGAAATGTTCCCAAGTCCAGAAATGTAGCAAGGAGATCTGTAAAATCCATGTGACATCAGTGGTTCATCCGCAATTATACAACGCTACGATAATACTTTTTGTGCGCAAAAGGGCCAGGAGCCCTCTCTGGGCTAGACATGGGAACAGGAACTTTCTCTGGGCTAAACTCGGGGACTGGGGCCCTCTCTGGGCTAAACTATCATTTACTTTTGTGTAACTGGAACCCTCTCTGGGCTGGACTGGGAAACGGGACCCCACTCAGGGCTGGACGGGACCAGCGGGGACGAAGGAGAGTGGAGAGGGGGCAAGTCAGCTTCCAGCTCAGTTTCCCAGTTTATAAGGTGCACAAAAAGTATTATCGTAGCTTCGTATAATTGCAATTGAACCACTGATGTCACATGGATTATTTTACCGATCACCTTGCTACGTTTCTGGACTTGGGAACATTTCAGTTGCGTTGCTGTCTATGCAGGGTCAGACAGCTCTCAGATTCCATCAAAAATATCATAAGGTCTTACGGGTTTGAAACGACATGAGGGTGAGTAATTAATGACAGAATTTTCATTTTTGGGTGAACTAACCCTTTAACCATTTTAGTAACATTTTATATATAAAACAATCTTCCCATTTATATATTAAACGCAAAGTATAAGAAGGCACTGCAAGTTGTATACTGTCTTAAATCTTGAATTACAGAGGAACAGGAGAAGCTCAAGAAGCTTCCGCCCAACCGTGTGGGTGCAAACTTTGACCACAGCTCACATACTGACGCCAACTGGCTGCCATCTTTTGGACGCGTGTGGAATAGTGGCAGGCGCTGGCAGTCTAGGTGAGCTCTAGCTATTGCACATTAGTAGGTTCATTCAGTTCTTGTTCTTTTTTTGATCGGTTCATCCTTGATCTTTATAGAAATGTCTTTATACAGTACAAATTTGCTTTTGTAGACATATCTAAATAAGAATTACTTTAGTTTCTTTAACAGTGTATAGTTCTTTTTTTTATTATTGACACTCTTTTTCCCCCCTCAGGCGTCAGTTCAGAGAGGAAGAGGCAAAAACCAGGGGGAAGAGGAAGTGGGAAGGTGATGGGAAAGCAACAAAGCAGAAAAAAGACCTCAGTAATGGAGAGTTATGAAGTGGATGCCCCAAATATACTAGCAGTGTTGGAAAAATGGCCTATTGGTTTTCTCATATTGAGAATTAGTATTTAAAGGACTTGACACCAGTTTTGAACACTTATGTGTTTGTTTCAGCTTGTCTAAATACACTTTTTGTTTTTACAAGAAATGAACATCGTTTGTGTTTCCAGTTTATTGAATACATTTTTGCGACAGATGTTGTGTAATTTTTTTGGTCATAAATCCAAAACAAACTACCCTTCCCACTCTCCTCAAAAGGTAAATATGATAAAATGAAGACACAATGTGCAATATCTTCTTTCCATTTTGAACAATACATCAGTTCAGTCAAATTTAATAGAATCTCGTCTATTAGAGCTATTCCATGTTCTCAACAGAAAGCCAAGACCATATTAATGTTCAATAATATAATAAAATACCTCAAATGTCTAGACAGAATAATAAAAATACAGATTACATTAATATTAAAGGATACCTTGCAGTCTTTTATTTTTCTTCTTTTTTTTAGTAGTTTCTGTTAAAATAATACATGACTTAACGCTTTAGAACGCAAAAGATGGAAAAAAAAGGTCTCTGTAAGAGATGCAGTGTTGGTCATAATTGTACAATACATTACATTTAAAATGGACCGTTAAGGGTCTTCATCAAGTTCCTGCATTGAAGCTTCTTTCTATTTAACTTCATTCTCAAAACCAAGAAAATCCGAAAGACAGATCGGGCCGAGCTGCCTGACGCGTGTCGTAACAGCTCGACCCGACGACATTACGAAAGGTCCGGTTTTCCCGTGGCCACAAGCCAGAGAAAACGCTTTCAGTAGCTTCATTAAATAGCATGTGGTTTATTAAGAGAGGAGGAATGAGGAGAGACACCACCACAATCATCAGCCCATCCTCAGACTCTTTACCTTACTAGTATCATTTGCCTTCATCTTCAGTCAGCAAATGTTGGCCGTTCCTCTTTGAGACGGCTCATGTGATAATATTCTCCGCACATCTAATAACGCGCTCTAGCAGTACAGGACTTCAATCAGAAGTTTTTCACGCTGATGTCAAACATGGTTTCTACATCGTAAAATCACATATACCTCACGCCATATCAAAACAGAAGTCAGGCATTCGGTTTATGCGAATATCTGTCTGAACTAACTGCTCATCATTATCATGCTAGTGAGGTTAAAGATCATGTGACCACTCAAGCTGTACTTTCATTGGCTAATATAGACTCTAATAGCTTAGGAGGTTTGCTGAAGGAATGTTGAGTCTTCTGTCCTCTGAATGCAGATGGTGGAGTGATGAAACGTCCTTACATGGCAATCTTTCTGAAAGTACCATGGTGTGCAGAAGGACAGAGATTTGGAGCGAGTGACTGGGGTCATCCTGTAGTGTGGTGTGAACAGAAACTCCAGATCTTGTCCATTCTGTCTGTCTCCGTCCAAACATGAGCGATGTTTAAGGAGGGGTGTCTCTGTGTCTCCTCCCGTCTCAATAAACAGAAAGACAGCTCTGCTTCACTAACTTTTATCTGAGAGAAGGATAAAAGAGAAAGAGAACTATGAATGAAAGCTCTTTTAGGGCATCTATAATGGCAGCACAACACCAAACCATTAACAGCTGCACTACCTTTGTTTTCCTCTGTGTCAGTAGCAGTTTCCTCTGATAGCCTTTGGCGTAGCTGGTTATACTTGATTTCTGTATCCTGCAGAGAGATTTGAGTATTATTGTTTATTTGTGTATATGAAGAAAAAAGCCAGGAAATTTCAGTTTTGACAATATGGGACCTTTAAACCAAAAATACATTTACCTGATTTTTGTTTTTGATATAGTTGGACACTTGGTCACACATTTGAAGGTATGAGTCTTCTCACATTAAATCAGTGTTTTGTTTTTTTAATCTTTTAATTATTTTAAGATTGCCTTTATATTTTAGGAAAGGGGACCCTGGCAAGTGATATATTTATATTGGGGATATAATGAAACTTTGCAATGATTTAATTAGTGCTGGGCGGTATACCGGTTCATACCGAATACCGGTGTTTATTTTTCTTATGATATGAATTTTTAAAATACCGCAATACCGTTAAATAATGTTTGGAACGCGTTTGAGGGGGGGGGTTTCTCTTTTCACTGTTGCGAGGACACAGCTGTATGTGTTACTAAGCGTGAAAGTTCAGAAACTGAAGCTGTAGAACTAATAGAACATGATGACACAGAAGAACTCATC